CAGACCTGCGTACACGGTATGTGTGACGGCTTCCCGTACAGACCTGCATACACGGTATGTGTGACGGCTTCCCGTACAGACCTGCGTACACGGTATGTATGACGGATTCCCGTACAGACCTGCGTACACGGTATGTATGACGGCTTCCCGTACAGACCTGCGTACACGGTATGTATGACGGATTCCCGTACAGACATGCGTACACGGTATGTATGACGGCTTCCCGTACAGGCCTGCGTACACGGTAGGCGTGACGGCTTCCCGTACAGACATGCGTACACGGTATGTATGACGGATTCCCGTACAGACATGCGTACACGGTATGTATGACGGATTCCCGTACAGACATGCGTACACGCTAGGCGTGACGGCTTCCCGTACAGACATGCGTACGCGGTAGGCGTGACGGCTTCCCGTACAGACATGCGTACACAGATGGTGTGTGAAGGTGCCGGCATTCAGTTTCCCACCTGGTAAGTGTCCCAGAGGCGGATGGTGCAGCGGAGGGGAAGTTCTCGCATTAGGAGGTTATTCATCCACCGAAAGGCAAACTGCAGGTACTCCACTTCGTACCGCTGGAAGTGGCTGTGCACGTCCTCTGCGGGGAGAGATGCAATGACAGTCTGCCAGCAGGTGGTGTGCTGGTTAAGGACCAGAATGCTGCAGGTTTAGTTCCCTCTAGCTTGCTATTTAAGTTGGAAAAACTCTAAATAAAAATTAAAAGCTATGCATGTGTTGGTGATCTGCTACATAACAATATGACATGACATGAATATCCGTGCACTTAAGCAGTTACAGTACAACATTGACAGCATTGTGTGACGTCTGTCGGCTGTCCAACTCCATTCTGTTTGAAGGAATCCATCAAGCGGCTTGTAATTTAGGGCGTACTATCCGGGCAGGCCCCCAGGCTGCCGCAGACTACCCCATCGCTCACGGCGGACAAGCCCAGAAGCAGCTGGGAGACTCCCACAATAAATCACGCCACGCTGTGTCTTTACCTCGCACCCCAATTAACCTCTTTATCTCCAGACTGGGGGCCTCAGTCAGCAGGCAGCATCTTAATCACGCGCTCGAGCCCCCGCTTGTGAACCCCGGCGTGGAACTCAGCCACCACCTCTCACTTGATTCTCACTACGACACAAAAACTTCTTTGGTTTCTTTGAATGGGGCATCTGCGGGGTGCTAACCCCGGCCACGCTCATCGACGGCACCTTGAGCTGTGCTCCCTCTCACCACCAAACACTCCCGTGTTTGATCCCAATGGCAGCCAAGAGCCATAGACAAAGAGAGCGAACTGCTGCGGTTTGGCCGCGGACGGCGTGGGGCTGTGTTTTTATGCTTTCTTCTGGCCCCTATTAATCAGCTACATTAGACAGAAAGAAAATTTACTTCCAAAAGAGAAAAGCATGCTGCCATTACCGATTAATGCTAGCTGGCTTATTGGGGACGTTGACCGAAACGACGAGGAGGGAGGAAGAGAGGTAAGCCTCTAACGTGCGAGTCCGGCCTGGTCTGGACCTGACACGGATGCAGGGAAAGGGGTGGGACTGATGGCCACGCGCTTAACGGTGGGGGTGACGGCCGGTCCTTCGCTGTTCGCCGGCGTGTTCTTTGGTATGAAGCGGTAATAGCTAGTAAGGGACCCGGGCCGCGGCAGAGCTCCGAGCAAACAGATTCACTGAGCTCCATATTGCCGCCCCCATGACGCACGCTCATTCCTCTGCGGCGTAGTGCTGGTTACGCCGTGGCGGCGTCGCCGACCTCGCCAGGCGTTGATTGATGGCACGCAGACGCCCCCCCCCCGGCGGCCGCTGCCTTTTACGGGCCCCGCTGTCGATCGGCATTCAGCTTATTATTGCAGCAAACAATAACAGCGGCGGCAGTAACAGGCGGGTGGTAAATCAGGGCTGTGCAAGACGACAGGCGGGACCAAGGCTTAGGAGCGTAGGTGACTGTGCGGGAGGGACCCGCCGGGGAGCCGGGGGAGGCGGCGGGAGGAGGCGCCAGGCGGTGCACACACCGACCGAGCGACGCTCCTTACTGTGTGGCGGAGGACAGGCTGGCTCTCTACAGCGATTCGTGCAGATGACTCAGAGCTCCGCGCATCTCGGTGCGGACATCCATCCAGCATCCCGGCAGCGAGGTTTAAAACGAGCCGCGTCCCCAGAAGACGGATGACGACGACGGCGGGTACGGGGCAAACATCTCACCATCGATCCTGCTGACCAGCTCCTCCAGGGCCTTGACCTTGATCTGGATCCCGGGCTGAGCAAAAGTGTAGTTATCCTGCCCGAGAGCAGAGAGAAAGAGCGGGGTGGGGGGAAAACAAAAAGCACAAGAAGTTTAAAGGTGCTGATCAATCTTCCCCTTTTCCTTTTCTCTTATCCATCTTCTTCCAGCCAACAGAGAAAATGGAAAACTCCCAGCATCCCTTTCTCTTGCCCATTCAGAGTTTAACTGATTTTGCTGCAGAGCTTCTGGCCACCCCTGTAGACTAATAAATCCAGAGGCAAGAGCCTGTGTGTCTGGGACCCGACACTGAAAGCCATGGAAGGCGTGTCGGACCGTGAGGTCAGGCTGTGCTGACCATTAAGGAATGTACCAATACTAGACTTCAAATATCAGCAATGGAATCATACTGATTTTGGCTTAAGAGAATGGACCTTCACATATCTGTTTATGTGCCAAGAAATGATAAAATTTGCATAAAAGTTGATATGTTTAAAACTTCCCACTGACATTGCCGTGTCATGGAGAGTGGCGTGGGCGGGGAGGAGCAGGCAGAGCGGTGCAGTTGGAGCTACACAGGCGGAGCTACATCGATGGTGCGGTGCAGGCGGAGCTACGCAGATGGGGTGGTGCAGGCGGAGCTACGCAGATGGGGTGGTGCAGGCGGAGCTACGCAGATGGGGTGGTGCAGGCGGAGCTACGCAGATGGTGCGGTGCAGGCGGAGCTACGCAGATGGCGCGGTGCAGGCGGAGCTACGCAGATGGGGCGCTGCAGGCGGAGCTACGCAGATGGGGCGGTGCAGGCGGAGCTACGCAGATGGGGCGGTGCAGGTGGAGCTACGCATATGGGGTGGTGCAGGCGGAGCTACGCAGATGGGGTGGTGCAGGCGGAGCTACGCAGATGGGGCGGTGCAGGTGGAGCTACGCAGATGGGGTGGTGCAGGCGGAGCTACGCAGATGGGGTGGTGCAGGCGGAGCTACGCAGATGGGGTGGTGCAGGCGGAGCCGCACAGGCAGAGCTACACAGGCGGGGCGGCGCAGACAGACCTGGATGCCATCCAGAAGCTTGCTCAGACACCAGAAGCTGTCCGCCTCAATGTTCCTCTGCGTGTCCAGAGGCAGCGCTGAAACTTCAAAGTTTTCCACATCTTCCTCTGCATACACACAAAAGAGAGAGACGCGCAGAGCATAAGCTGAGTGTTCCCGCTCGGTGTCGTGGGGAGTCACGTGGACACCGGCCAGCTCCCTGTACAGAGCAGCGGCGTGAGGGAATATCTGACAGTATCAACATGCACTTGTTCTTGACATTCATGAGGTCCTTCTCTGGGGTCCCCTCACAGCTCTGACCTTTAAATGGTCTTTAAACAACAGCACCAAACTGCATCCATACACAGATGGGAGAAGCGAGACCAGCATTACCCCGAAGGGGATCCTCAGCACATGCTAATAATTTACGTAGAGGCATGAGGCTAATTCCAGGAGAAGAGAAAAGTAACCGGCGAACATGGAGGTGCACTCAGATACCGTAACGAGTGATGTATGACACCGATGAAAGGAGTGGAAGAAAGATGACAGATCTAAAAGGCTGCAGTGATAAGAGGACAAGCAAGAACGTTCAATATGGAGCATCAGTGCCTTGCTGTTGTTTGTTTATTTAGAAGCAGCTCGGCACAGAAGGCGACGCTGTACTGATTATTAAGATGTTTTATTGCATTTCTTCCGAGTGCATAGTGCTGGAATGGTCAGTGCATACCAATGAGCCGGGATGGGGGGGGGGGGGGTTGGGGGTGTCCCATTTAGATGTCAGGCCACAAACGTACTCTGCTGTGTTCTGGAGACAGGGGGGCAACAAATACACCCTGCAGAGCCGCAAGTCCATAGGCCGACTGCAGATTAACACGTGGCAGGAAGTCGCCCCCGCTAACGGGCACACACACGCACGGCAGGAAGTCGCCCCCGCTCACGGGCACACACACGCATGGCAGGAAGTCGCCCCCACTCACGGGCACACACACGCGTGGCAGGAAGTCGCCCCCGCTAACGGGCACACACACGCGTGGCAGGAAGTTGCCCCCGCTAACGGGCACACACACGCGTGGCAGGAAGTCGCCCCCGCTAACGGGCACACACACACGCGTGGCAGGAAGTCGCCCCCGCTCACGGGCACACACACGCGTGGCAGGAAGTCGCCCCCGCTAACGGGCACACACACACGCGTGGCAGGAAGTCGCCCCCGCTCACGGGCACACACACACGCGTGGCAGGAAGTCGCCCCCACAATACCTATGCGGGTTTTCCCACATCACTGCCACTGCTGTAGAGGGCAGGCACTATGTGAATGTTAAGCAGAGGCAGCCCCCCCCACCCCCAGGACCTGACATCATAACCGTGACCCTGCCCCAGTCCCCAGCAAGCTTCTGCGTCACAGCCTGCTGCTGCTGAGAAACTGTCCTCTCACATTCATTCAACCCTTGGGACAATTCTCCGTTCTCCTTGTGAGCAGAACACGAAAACATGAGGCCCCCTAACCAGCAAAATACAGTGGTCCCCCGTCCCACCAAAACACAGGGGCCTCCTCCACAGAAAAACACAGGGACCCCTCCCACCAAAGCATGAGCCCCCTTCCCATCCACCACGCACCAGAGCATGTTGAAAACATTCTCATTCTTCCTTTAAACAGCAATTTGTCTGTAACCACACAGAACGAGCTGCACACAACCCCCCTTCCACCCTCCAGGATGTGGTCGCATTCAACCCCCCTGCCCTCTGACTCACTGGCAGAAGGGAAAGGCCTCCTCTTGAACTCCTGATCCTGTACAAATTGTCCGTTTTAAGCCCTTTTATTGAATTTCAGTGCCGCACGGACACGCAGCGCAGTTGCGTAAACACGGACACAGGCACTTAACCCGAGTGTTTAGGCTGTGCTCCCCCAGCCGGGCATCCTGCGCCCCTCCCTGCCTGTGGGCTAAAAGCCCATAATTGCCTCCATGGACACAATGGCAGCAGTAACATGGAGATGGGGGGTAGGGGGGTGCAGGGAAGGCTGGGTTCTGGCTAGGGATGGCACGGTTCATGAAAAAAAACCGAACCGTTCGGTTCGCTTGTCTCGGTTCGGAGCATGCATGCG